CTTAACGCAACTTCTTCCGCTTGTAAAGTTCATCAGTATCCTTGATCGTCACTCTCGGACTGCGTCTAGGCTCTATGTAGCGGATGACTTGTAAACACAAAGATCGGTGATCCATTGTCTCGCATCTCCCATGTGACTCCAATATCCAACCATACGCTCAAATCATTGGTATATATTGTCCCTAGCCAAGGTACATACCCCACAATCTGCAACGACACCATGAATGCAGATCCTATGGTGCGTCGGGGAATTCATGGATGGTTTCCACGCTACGATCATGTCTGCAGAGTAAACATAGCAGACAAAGTCCCATGCGTAATGAGTCACAATGCGTTGATGGGCTGGCGGTTATCAAACCGGGAATACCGTCAAGTGGCTTCCTTTTTCCGCTAGACTAAGTACGTGAGTCGGGAGCCGGACCCATGGTAGATCTTGATAACCTTGTGGAAGACTACGCGTATGAGGATACTTCTCTAGACAGAGGGACTATGAAGGTACTCAAAGCAATATACAATTGTCATAGCTGAACCAAAGGTGCAATGGCTGAGTCAGGACGGTCTAGACATCGATGCTGAACGATTTCCAACACAATTGGTCCAGTATGTGTCTGGAATCAGAACTGCCACGACAACAAACACGCAAGTCGTCGAGGCGCAATATGAACAGCTACCTGCTCTGGATCCTTTGGACTAACCACAAATTGACAACACAAAGAGAAACATATGACTCCTGACGATGTGCTTTGTAGCAGGCCGATTATCCGTCCACCAGGCCCGAATAGACCGAATCCAAGCCAAAGTGTATGCGCCTGACCAGGGGAGCTTTTTTAGCACAGCAGAAATGTAATGGTGAAGGTCAGCTGCCCGTCATCGAACCATCACGTGGCGTCATTCAGTGCTCTGGCGGATTCTCGAGGCTGAGTCTTGTACCAAAGTGAGAGGTACAGAGGAATAGGAGTAGCTTAGTTTGGGCTAGTTTGGGCTCCGGAGGCGGTCTAGCGTAAGATTTCCTCTTACCTGCGATGACCGGCAACAATACACCGGATTACAATACAATACAGCTCGACAAGGCGTAACGCTAGTTGGAGATCCTCTGGGATTGCGCACCAAAGAGGGGCAACATCCAGAGAACGCAGCTAGACGAATCTACGTGAGCTAGACCGCGTTAAGCTTAGCGCCCAAGAAAAATTGAAAAATTTTTTACAGAATTTTCCTTGCGCTTGGGAACGGCTCGGTGAGGTTCCACATCTTTCCAGTTCTAGAAACCAGAGGTCCAAAGGGAGAATTAGAAACGAGTGGCCCAATTCCAGAGAAATAGAGTGGAAGAAGTCTCCAGATCATGGATGGGCGATGTTTTGTTTCTACTACAGAGTACTATTGTCACTTCTCCTTGTAACATCCATTCTAGGCTAAGTGTCTGATATACCACCGATGTCCGCGGAGGTCCAAATCGGATTTCCCCGCACTGTATGCAATTCAAGATTTTGCGGGGGATCGCGTCATCTGTGTTTTCTTTGCTTTTCTCAGCTTCTTACTAGGGCGCGGACACTAACCCATCATTCTGTTATCATCTTTCCACATTGTCTGGTGAGTTGGGATCGAAACCGATTCTCAGATTCATCAGAGAATGATTTTTTGAAGATATCAAAAGTCAATCACAGGCTTGGGTCTAGACAACCTAGCTGTCAAGAGTCAAGACCTGCTCTGTGCGCTGTCCGTCTGCAAGGGAAAACTCTTCCCTGACGAATGGCCGTGCATCGCGGCCATACCAATTACCTAACAGATTCCTCTTCACCATTCCCATTGGAAGTCATCCTCCTTCTCGGTCGAATTTTACTGTCAATAATCAGGGTTTATGACTCAAAATCAAAGAAGATCTGCTTTGTTTCATCTGCATTCCGGCTAAACAATTGCTGAAGGGCTGACTGATGACTCGTCCCGAGTCCCCAAAACTTGAAGTCGGCTCAGGATCTTCGTTCCGAGTGATACCATCATAGCCGACTCGATCATGCCATCTAGTCGGATTGCTCACGGCAATGAGATTCATAACGTCGGGGCTGATCTACTCTACCATTATTGATGCCGATGCTGAATCTAGTCATTGTAGTGCGTTTACTAACTGTTATAGTCAAAGTCCGATGGAGATATTATATGGAGTCCCCTCCGGCGCGGGAGTTGCCCTTTCTGGAAGTCGAGAGTGACAGCTAGGACTGAGGCATATTGCCATTATGGGTCTGAGACTTCAAGTGATACCATACAATTAGTTGCTTATTCTGATACAAATGCCATCAAATCATAACCACTTTAGAAGATACGCCTTCATTGTCTGCTATATCATTTATAATCGCATTCAAAACAAGTTCAGTTCAGGTCCATATTTCATACCGATGGACTGCTGATCCTGGCGCATCTGCCTACACTGTATCCGTACATTGGACAACCCCTTTCGCAGTTTACGACTCCCCGCGGGAAACTCCGACAGCAATCCTCAGAGTGTTTTAATCGGATACTGCCCGGATTTTGCTTGCTGGTGGATTCCACTTACACCCCTTAGACTGACCGAGTGGATTCCGGTTCTCACCCGGTTCCTCGGAAATTTTTCATCGCGCATCACTAGGTCGAACCGGACCTTCTTATTGGTCTTTCCCACAATTGCCTCAGTTTAGTTTATTTGCAACTGATTTTTCACACCATACGATAGACTAATTCTTTTCAAATATGCCCCGTGCACCGTAAATCACTCAATTCATCAATCATCAGACGAATCTGGACCGTGGTTAGACGCGGACGGGACCGTCTTGTTGACCCTGACTTGGAACCATCAACTTTCCTTCGGGCCCATTGGCGGAGGACGCCGATGGCCTCGAAAGAGTCATGTCGGTACGCCGTGGTGACAAAGCGATATCGATTACCTAATGAAGGGCCTCAGCACATCAGTTACGTGTAAGATCATGCCATTAGCTGGAGTTATGGGCAATTTCGATCAGAGAATTGTCTAATATCGTGTCATTTCTGCCATTGTCTTCCTCATTGTTTGGCAATTTTGATACTCATGTCATTATGTCGGAGATCAGGTCTCTCTGCACTTCGGATCTCAATTAGGAATCGTCTCTTTCAGCTCCGAAGATGATGGTCATCGTAGGTCTGCGTTTATTTTTAGATCTTCATCATGCTCATGCAAGCTGCGTCTAAATCTTTAAAAACCCAGTGTTCTCTGACCAGTTAACTGTCATTCTGCGCAATGAGCAGCTAATAATGGCAAGTATATCGCACATGAAGAGTAAAGCCAGTAGTTATACACTGCAGACATACTCATGCATCAAGCGAAGTCGAAGGACTGAAGCAGTCAAAAGTCCAATGTCAAACAGTCACGTGATATTATCGGCAAGGGGAACGAATCTGGAGTTCCAAGAGCCAGATCGCTTCCCCTTTTCTTTGTGCCACCGTGTCTATTTGCCATTGGGCGGTCGACTCTCGCCCCTGTGGAATATCGGCTTGGAACTTCAAGTTCATATGCTTCGTTATCATTGCTGATGATAGCAGACAGAGCATCAAAGCTGAGACGGACCGGTGGAGTTGATGATGCGGAATCCCCACTTGCAATCCGCAACCACCTAAACTGACACTGACAGCTTTGCATAATTGCATTACATCAATTGACCTCAGGTTGCGGGGCAAGTCAATTGATCTCGCGCATAACTGAACATTGCAGAGCTTTAATCTCTTCAAATCCTGTCACCATGCTCACCACGTCGCTGGTGACATGGGGCCTGACCCTCTCCGCCATTTTCCTCTTCTGGACCCTCTCCTCAACCAGCTCGTCCCCCTTTGCGCGCAACTTTCCTCGTCTCTTCAACAAACGGATATGCCTACTAATTGCCCACCCGGACGATGAGGCGATGTTCTTCTCCCCCACGGTACTGGCATTGACCAAACCAGAGCTAGGGAACCATGTGAAGATCCTCTGTCTGAGCAGCGGTACGCTAGGCTCCCTCCGCGCCACTCTCCCCCCAATCAATCAAACCCCCTAACACAGATCCGTAGGAGACGCCGACGGCCTCGGCCACATCCGCAAGAAGGAGCTCCAACAAAGCGCCAAACACCTCGGCCTCCGCGCCGACTCCGACGTCTTCATCGTCGACGACCCCGCCCGGTTTCCAGATAGCATGACAGCCACCTGGTCCGAGAGCGATGTGTCGTCGTTGCTCGCGTCCGCCTTTGCCCCCGATCTCGCCTCACAGTCGCAGTCATCCGCAGCCAGGAATCGGGTGCCTGGAAGGGGCGCCCCAACCGCAACCATCGACGTCCTGATCACCTTCGACAAACATGGTATCAGCAACCACCCCAACCACCGCTCGCTGTACCATGGTGCTGTGCATTTCCTCCGGGCCCTGATGAAGGATAAGGCGGGGTATACGTGCCCCGTGACGCTGTACACGCTTACCACGACGAGTATCCTACGGAAGTACATTGGGGTGTTGGATGCGCCGTGGACGATGGCGAGCGGGGCGCTGGGGTCGATCTTTGCTGGTGCGGCTAAGGGCGGGAAGGATGATATGCCGGGTAAACTGCTTTTCATCAGTGCGGTGGATGAGTATATCCGCGCGCAGGCGGCTATGGTCAAGGCGCATAAGAGCCAGATGGTCTGGTTTCGGTATGGGTGGATTACGCTGGGGAGGTATATGGTTGTTAATGATTTGAGGAGGGTGAGGGTATGACTGTGTACGATCTCCATTCTGGGAGGCCGAATTCGATTGTATTTATTTGTACATTTGCACAAATGGGAAATGAGATGAACTGATATCAGAACATTACTTGACAGAAGAATAAAAATGGACGCTGACATGAGAAGTGGTATCGGTGATGTTCAGGCGCAACACAACATACATGCGCTCTGAATGGGGTATCTAACAAAAGCATCTGCAGCAGATGGAAAGAAAAACAACATGGTCCGGTCGGAATGGATTGTACAAGAAAGGCGCCGTCAACACGAAAGGTCACTCAAGCTACAGCGAGAGGATTAGTCGTGGGATCAAAGATATCCTCGTCGTCCGCACTCCACCGAAGCGGTCTCTGCGAGGGGTATTCCGCTTCCAAAGCATGAGGCATAGCTCCAGCCCGTTCGTTCACCGCGTCGGCTTCAACTGCTTCTTCTAAGGCAGGTCTCCGTCTCACTGGGTTGGCAATCCGTTTCGTCACTCCCGAGAACAACCGCCTAACAGCAGGGATGTTCATTCTTCGCAATTCAGCAGGGTAGCACGCCCAGAAGAAGTCGTCGTCGAGTTCCCTGGCGTCTTCGTCGAGGACCAGGCCGTTATCGACGGTCGGCCGACGCACTGGTATCCTCCTGTGTGTGTTGAGCAGGCGGTCACCCCAGCAAGTTTCTCCGTGGACGTAGACGTCCCCGCTTCCGATCTGGAGCAAAACCGACTTGGGGAGGAAGTCCTGCCACTCTTCTATCACGCGGGGAAGTAGTTGACGCTCCCAGACAGGATTGTCGCGGCCGACCCAGCGAGGGTGTATGAGGAGAAGTTTCGCGAGCCGTTCCATGATGGTCGTCTGCTGGGCAGTGTGCATGCGAAGCACGTCGTATGTATGCACTGCCTCGGTGAATGCTCGAGACAGGAGCAGTTTGGGGTCGGCGCACGGTCTGCCGGTGTCTGAAGCTGTCGCCTCCGATTGCGGTGGACCAAGGTAGTTTTCGATGATCGCTCGAGCAGTTCGGCGTTTGCGTCGGGTCTCTTCGAGAATCGCGTATGCTGACTCCATGTACTGCCTGAAATCTGGTAGCTTGACCTGATCCCACGCTGTCTTGGCCAGGAGTTGGTACATCTCCATGGTGGGCTGGACGTTGAAAGGCTCCGACTTCATGGTTTGGCCCAGGGCCGTCAGGAACTCATATGGAACCTTTCCTTTTATATTGCGCTGGGCATCCTTACCGAAACGCGGGCGAGAAAGAACGAAGGACCGCTCGAGCAGCTCTTGCCAGACCTCTTCTGGGACCGGAATGTCGTAGGAGCTGGATATGAAGCTGACTGCCCCCATGGCTCCGGGAATGTCGTTGTTGGTGCCAAAGGCGTGTGCGACAGCGAACAAGAGGCGACTACTTGGATACAGAGGTGAAGAACGATCGTATTTCTTGGGGCGAGGAAGGCTCGATGAGTCTCCCGGCGCCGCCAGGGCGTCAATGTCGACGTTCCAAACCGTCTTCAACACGTGCTTCATTGTTTCCGTGGATCCCACCCTGGAAGACGCCATAATTACGTTCACGTAAGTACCCTCGTCGCCCGAAGTGCCTTCTTCCGTCATCTCGTTCAAAATCATCATGATGTCCTTGCGCACACTGCGGCGGGCAGTCCCATAGCCTTTCCATCCCAAGTTTGGGTCGTCGAAGCTTCGCTTACGGTAAGCGAACGGCGTTACTCGCAGATGATACTTCTCTCGGCCAGTGTAGGCCCCATCCCAAACCTTGGCTTCCATGTAGTAATTGTAGCAATGCACATCGGGGACAACATCGTCCTGACGCATGGCATGCCATACATGGTCGGCCATCAGCGCATCCCCGGTAGACCGCGCACAGTCCAGGAGATGGGTGTACTCTGCCAGTCCCAGTGTGTGACCCGCCGACCGTCTGATCGAGACGATCGAGGCAAGATTGCAAGCAAACTTATCGAAGATCCTGTCCAATTGCGGGTAACCTTTGAGCGCTACGGCAGATGGATGCAACGCGCGATAAATAGCTCTAAAAGGATCAGTGAAGTAGGCAGGAGACAGCAAGCGAAAGGCTTCTACAAAGGTACTCTCAGGTAACGATCCAACCAAGACTTCAAATTTGGGATCGAGTAATGCGTTCATGACCAGGTCCGGTTGACCATCTCGGACAATCGAGAAGAATTCATTTTTGAGCCCATTTGGCACTTCCTTCTTCTGTGCTTCAACATGGTCACCCGGTGACACGACTGTGCTCTGCGTCGATCTGATTGCATAAAAATGGGACAATAGCGGTGCAAACTCCCGGTGATAACCCGGAGGTCTTTGATGATTCTGCTGATGATCGAGATGATGCTGCTCCAAATGTGCTGGACACTGAGGATCGACGAATGACCGTGTCTGGCAAAGCGTGGGCCTGGGAGCGGAGCCTGTCAGTCGGGAGGACCCATAAGAGTGCCCGTAGCGGCCGATAATGGATCGAAACATGAAGAGCAGACCACGTGAGACGGTATAGTTCGGTAATATCAAGGGGGTCTCATGGACCCGGATTTTGCAGCAATTTATCCTGATGAAATTGAAAGATTTTAGAGAAGATGAGAGATGAAGAAACGAAAGAATGTCAGAAAAGGACACTCTCCAAGGAGCGACAATGCAGGGCCTTTTGTGCAATGTGAGGGGAAATGCATGGGGTAAGGCCTCAAGGCACTCCATCCCCTCTTCTGGTTGGCCGCTGCACTCTTGGCGTGGAATCCCTGCAATTGTCTGTGCCCGCGGATTTTACCTACTCTCAGACTGCGGCATACCTATCTACTGTCGTCCACAACCGTCACCAATTACAAGCTAGCCTCTTAGTGGTGGTAGCTTTATTATCCGTCTTACCTAGCTGTCTAGACATGGCCGACACCGAGGATACTGGCGCTGGATCTGTCTCCGAACCTTTGGATCTGGTCCGCCTCTCGCTCGATGAGATCGTCTTCGTGAAGCTCCGCGGCGATCGCGAGCTCAAGGGTCGTCTACACGTGAGTTGATCTGAGTGCTGGTCGCGTTTTTGCGCAAAATGCTTGATCTGACAGGGGATTTATGCAGGCCTACGATAGCCACTGCAATCTTGTGCTGGGTGATGTCGAGGAGACCATCTACGTGGTGGAGGAGGATGAGAATGAAGAGGAGACCATCCGAGTACGACAACCCATCAGATGGCCGATAGGCTTGTGGTCGCGTTCAATTGATGAGGACATGAGCTAACATTTCGGTCGGCGAATACAGACAATAAAGAAGCAAGAAGAGATGCTCTTTGTACGAGGTGAGCTCGAAATGAAACCATAGCCTCGATATTCGACCGCCATACTGATCCAGAACTTTTCTACGCAGGTGACTCGGTTGTATTGATCTCTCCACAGGCGTGATATTGCGATACATCAGATAGGAGGCTTAGGGACGACATGCAGTTCACCTGATGGAATATACAGCGGTATAGGGCAATGTAGATCCCTGCTGCTATATTCTGGGTTGCGACTACAGACACCGAACCAGACGATGGCCATTAGGTATCTCTTCAATATTCTCTGCAAACGGACAGAGCAATTGCACTATTCATCACAGAATGAAAAGTCGGAAACATTATGGCACAGGATGGACAGGGACTTATGTCATAACCTTAACGAAGAGCCTCATGAAAGTAGCGGTCACTATGTCGCTTGAATGTCTGGAAATAGATTTCGATTCACCAATAATATGGCTAGATGAATTCAATAGAAAATATGCCTTATGACACAGCCTTCATGTGGTGCGGCGCCGTGACTCAGTCGAAGGACTCGTAGTCCCCGAGGCGGCGATGACTCGCTATCGATAAAGCTTCCCCAGTTCCCGCAACTGAGCGCTTCTTTCCCACTTGCCTGACTCAACCCACCCTGCTGTCCTGTTCGTGACACCTCACTTGATCCTATATATCATTGATTGCTTGTGTCTGATCTTTGTACGTCCTGGTGAAGTCCTCACAAGCTGCCTGCCTCGAACATTCATAGTGGAATTATGATAATACGAATACGTGTCTGAATGCGCCACAGGCGACTTCATCTTTTAACCGGTTGAACAAGTACAGCTTTCAGAATTCTCCATTAGATTTCCATTTTTCTATTTGCTCTGTGTTTTGTACTTTGCTCTTTTCTTTTGTTGAATCCGGCCATGCCACACGGTCCCAAACTTTCTCTCGAGGAGCGGCGGAGAGGCGAGATAGTATGTTTCCCAACCTTTGTCATCTAGTGACAAGACTCGTTGAATTCCTGCTGATTATTCGCCGTCAAGGCCCTGAGTGAATTTGCAGAATATGCAGAGAAGCAGCAGTCGCATCGCTCGGCCCAGGTGGCCCCGAGCGATAGCGGCTACTCGACCGCGAGCATAGCCCAAGCCACCGAGGACCACGCGGAACTGGATATCCTCGACCAACTCACGCTATCCGATACCCCGAAGACGGCCAAGTTAAAAGACCTGCTGCTCGGTACGGGTGACGAAGCAGAAGATAGTCTGCAGCTGCTGGGCAGTATCCTGCAGGCCCGGATTGACGAGGGCCATGGGGAGACCATCTTTGACTTGGGACTCGAGGATGGTGGCGATTCCATGGGCTTTGACCTTGAGCAGTGGAATACGGCCCTGCAGCGTCTGCGAGAGGCGGCAGAGGCCCTCCCGGCGCATTGCCGAATCCTTCTTACCTGCAATGTGGGAGGCCCGGAGGAGTCGAAAACCAAGAATGACCGGATCAAGGGTGCCTGGGGCAAGATCCTGATCCGCCAGCCTGCGGATACTGTGGAGGAGATGGCTGAGATTAGAATAGCAGTTGTTGGGAATGTGGACGCCGGGAAGAGTACCATGCTTGGAGTCCTCGTCAAGGGGAATCTCGATGACGGACGAGGCAGGGCGCGAATCAATCTCTTCCGCCATAAGCATGAGGTCGAAAGCGGTCGGACCAGCTCCGTTGGACTGGAGATCATGGGCTTCGATAGCCACGGCGAGATTGTCGGCAGCTCGCAGGGTCGCAAACTCTCTTGGGAAGAGATAGGAAAGCGATCTGCGAAGGTGATCTCTTTCTCCGATCTGGCCGGTCATGAGCGCTACTTGAGAACTACTGTCTTTGGCATGTTGAGCAGCAGTCCCAACTACTGTCTACTGATGGTCGCAGCCAACAACGGTCTGATTGGTATGAGCAAAGAGCATCTGGGTATTGCCTTGGCTCTGAATGTGCCAGTCATGGTGATCATCACCAAGATCGATATCTGCCCTCCGCAGATCCTGCAGGAGACCGTCTCTCAGCTGACCAAGATTCTCAAGTCCCCCGGCGCTCGGAAAATTCCCATATTCGTGAAGGATATGGAGGAGACTATCAACACCGCGACTCAGTTCGTCAGTCAGCGCATTTGCCCCATCTTCCAAGTGTCCAATGTCACCGGTGAGAATCTGGAACTGGTACGGACATTTCTGAACATTCTTCCTCACCGGGGCCAATACAACACAGAAGCTCCCTTTGAATTTCTGATTAATGATACCTTCTCTGTTCCTCATGTCGGAACTGTGGTGTCTGGAGTGGCCAAGTCCGGGGTGATCCACGCTGGCGACTCGGTGCTCGTGGGCCCTGATTCTCTCGGCCAGTTCACCACGACTACAATCAAGTCGATTGAACGCAAGCGGATCCAAGTGAATGCTTGCTTTGCGGGACAGTCTGGCTCGTTTGCTCTCAAGCGTGTTCGTAGAAAAGAAGTCCGCAAGGGAATGGTGGTTCTCAAGAAATTGGAACAGCCTCCCAAGGTCTACCGAGAATTTGTCGCTGAAGGTACGTTCTATTATCTAGTGTTCATATATGATTTCTCGCTGACTTGGAACAGTTCTCATTCTTTCCCACGCTACAACGATCAAACCGAGGTATCAAGCAATGCTACACGTCGGCGCAGTGAGTCAGACTTGCTCAGTCATTGACATTGACCGCCCCTTCATCCGAACCGGTGATCGAGCTCTTGTTGCCTTCCGATTCATCCAACGTCCGGAATTCTTGGCCCCTGGCGATCGAGTCTTGTTCCGAGAGGGTAAAACCAAGGGCTTGGGGATCGTCAAGAGTGTCGGGTACGACCCGGATCATCCTCTTAACCCTGAAGCTAAGACCAAGTGATGCATCATTGCTTAGAGAGATGTGGGACTTGGTTCTTTTTTTTTTTTTTTTGGCCTATTGTTATCGATCAGTTTATGGTATTTTGGTTTCCTTCTCGCGTCCCTGCGATCAGCTGTGCTCTTTGCTTGGGCCTACTTTAGCTGCTTGTTGTTTCCCTCATGGACCATACATGGATAAATTTGCCCATGCAGGATAGGCTGCTGCATATCCTTCCTGCTGGGTTAAATTATCGATAGTCGTCATACATTTTACTGTTCATACTGCTCTATTGATCCCAGTATGCTTATCCTATAAATGACGTCGAGTGCAGGCATTAATACAAGTAGGATTAGACCCCCATCAAGGAGATTCAGAGACATCCATACCTAAGCCTATCATGTATCATACTGTTATTAACCCTCTACTCTTGGCTGCTCTCGTTGTCCTGTTTGACTGCCGCTGCTGTAGTGATGATATCACGTGGCTATGACGTCAAGCATCCCAACTACCAGACAGCTATGATGCCATTTCCCCAGTTGATCGTCGACGTATGTATCTCTGGCTGTCAGCCGCAAAGGATTATTTGATAGCTTAGGTTGATTGAGATCATCGATAAGACCAATAGCAGCAAGACGGTATTTACAGCACCTGTCACTTTGGTGATCCCTGTACCTTGCAACAGCCACCAGCTCCACTGACGTAGAGCGTCTTACTCTTGCCTCTTAAACTGTTAACGTGGTTATGATCTATTAAAGACAACCTGATTCTGGATCAGCTTCTATGGTTAATCGTCTACCACTCTTACACTCAGTCTTGGCATTGCTTGAGAGATAATCTAACCACGTTGATACCGACCTCGTCTTTGATAGATAGACCGCCTCACTGCCTGCTATACATCGTCCTATCATCCCAACGCCTGATAATGGAGTCTGTACAGAAGGCCGTACGTGATGCCGCTGACGGCTTGCGAAACCTCGCCTTCGGCCCACAGCAAGTCACAGAGGCTGCTACTCAGCATGGCGAGGAGCCTGTCTCCGGCGTACAGGGTCGAGGAACGCCGACTGATCCGTACGACGCTGGGAACAGAGATGGTGAGTTCCGAGTACTTTCATGACGACATGTTGTCGTGGGCGCGTCGCCTTGAGCGGCATTGTATGTGATGGGTTTGAACCTCAGCGGCTAACACTCTGCACGCAGAACAACCAGGCGCCCCCCAAACTCAAGACAACACCGCCGTCATCCCCGAGCCACTCGAATCCATTACACCCATTGAAATCAAGGCCACGGACGTCAGTTCCGCCCAAAGCACCTCGGACCAGGGCCCCGGAGCCGGAGCCGGAGCCGGAGCAGGGCTCACTACCGCTCTCCCTGTAGCTCCGCAGCCATCCTCTACACCTGCACAGGAAAAGTCGCAGTCGCAATCTACAACCCCCAACACCAACCTAGAATCCGGATCCGGACCCGGCAACCCAGCCGTGGACGAACCCTCGCCCGCACAAGAGCAGTCGAATCCCACCGCCAGCTCGGCAGACACCACCACCAGCACCGGCACCGGCACCAGCAACAGCAGCACAGGAAGCTCAAGCAGCAGCAACAACAACAACGCACCCACCCACTCTGAGCCCGAGAAATCTGCCCCCGAACAACGATCTCAGACCATGCCCGACGGCGACAGCAGCTCGCAGCAGAACGAGGACGGCGGCGTACCTGGCGGTGTTGAGCGCGCTCCGCCTACCACTACGCAGCAGGTAAGCGTCGAGGCGCTGAAGGGGCCGCAGGGTCCTGCGCCTCGGGATGCGTATGAGTTTGAGAAGGAGATCGATGGGCAGCCGTCGAAGACGAGGACTGGTTAGTATCGACCTTTTATGTGTTTGTGCATGTGACGTGTGGACGGTGGCTAAGCTAATGGTTTCATAGGTCAAGATGCGGATGAAAAGGGCGATTCGGGGAATCACCATCATAGGATGGGACATATGAAGGAGCGGCTGGGGAAGGTGTTCAAGCATGGTAATCATTGAGAATGAGTATTGGAGGTTCGTTGGATTTGGTTTGATCTTATGAGTAGGGCTTCGGCTTAATGTATCGCGCTGGAGATTGTCATCTACTATTCCGAATGTCATGTATGTGCAAATCTGCTCGCAGTACTGCGTAAGACTTCGTAACAAGTTTCAAGGAGCAACATCAAGGGGTATATAATATGGTAGCTCCATGTACTCCGTACTTTGCCATGGTCACACGACTACTCAAACAACAACTTCAACTCCTCAATTCTCTCCTTCCTCTTCTCATCCTCGGATCCATCACCACCAACCCGCAAGCCCAACGACCCCGCAATATTCATCTTGCGCTCCTGCACCCGTAACATGCGCCCCTCGATCGAGTCCTTGACGATAAACCGCGTCACAGAGACGTCACGCAGCTGGCCCATTCGATGCACACGATCGATCGCTTGAGCCTCAATCGCAAAGCTCCACCACGGATCCATCATGAAGACGTTACTGGCAGCCGTGAGATTGAGGCCGACGCCGCCGGCGCGCAAACTGATCAGTAGCACGGTGGGGCTTTTGGTTGACGACCGGCTGTTCTTTGATGAGATTCTCACCCGGGGCGTGTCCGGCCCTTCGTCCTCGTCGATTTCCTCCTGGTCGAAGGTCTCGGTTCTGCTGAATTCCGCGAGCACCTCGGCTCGGGCCTTTTGCGGCATTGTCCCGTCGAGACGGACGTAGGAGATGCCGGCTTTGGTAAGTTGCGGGCCGATCAGGTCGAGGAAGCTGGTGAATTGGGAGAAGACGACGGACTTTGTGTTTGCAGGGACGCGGCTGAGGTGGTTGATCAGGGCGTGGATCTTGGCGGAGGTGTGTGCTGATGGTGAGAGAGGGTTGATGCGTCGGAGGGAGATCCGGGGTGCTGGGTGCGGACTGGAAGCAGGGGTGCTGCTGTAGAGATCGGTCTCTGTAGGGGTCGAACTAGGCGATTGGTGACGGATCACTTCGAAGACGTCTCGTGAGGTAACTGGTGCTCGACATGAAAAGCACCGAGGCGTCACGCCCTTGTCTGTTTGGTGGCGTATATAGTCCTCCAAGCATTTCTTACATGCGCTGTGCCAACAGGCTGTGACAGCAGGATCGATCATGGGCTCTTCCGAGCAAATGGGACATTCTCCGCTGGATTCGGTTTGAATCTGCCTCAGGGCATGGGTGGTGAATTTGGCGCCAGGGTCCTGCGCCTCGGCCAAATCCGCGTTTTCCATGCTGGCTGAGAAGCGGTCTATAAGCTCTTGCAGATCCATGTCGTCTTTCAACTCGTTAGCTGCATCAGCTGTCGCCGCTGCATCTTCCTCATCTGCTACAATGGTCCTGTTACGCGTGAGGATAGGATGGCAGCAAGTCTGTCGGAGACGGAGGATCTGAGCAAAGATTGTCGAGAATGACTTCAGGAGCGTACCGGCTTCGATGTTGTCGTTGAAAGTCCGTTTGGCTCTGGTGAAGATATAGTCGTAGATTTCGCGTTCTTGCTCAGAAAGGTCTACTTCGACAATGTCAATGGTCCGTCGTGGCAGTGGCACCAAAGGTTCTCCCTCGGGGGTTTTCATTGTCTTCGTCCGACGGAGAACCAAAGGCTCAAGGACTGTCTGCACTACATTGAGGGCTCGAACGTAGTCTTTAGACTCAAATGGTACGGTGATGAACGTCTTCCAGAACGAAAAGTTGTTCCAGGGCTCAACTTGTAGGAACCGCACCAAGCTGAAAAGGTCCTCAAGGCGGTTCACAATAGGCGTTCCTGTGAGCACCCATCGATGTGTTGCTCTCAGCTCGTAACAAGCCCTTGCCGTCTTTGAGCGTCGATTCTTAATGACATGGGCTTCATCAAGGATGACGCGGAAGAAGTCCACAGAAAACAAGCCACCGTGAGTATTGGAATTAAACATTGCGAGCTGACGGGATTCCGACAGTACAACGCCATAACTGGTGATTATAATGTTAGGCGCAGCGGGATTGCCAGCAGAACAGAGCTCTTGCAGATTGGCGGACTTGTCGGCACCATAATACATCAGGACCTTCATCGTTCCCTGTTCCGAGGCCTTCATCGCCTCGCTTTCCCACTGAGACAGGAGAGAGGTTGGAGCCACGACAAGGGTCGTGTTTGGAGCAGGCAGAACGGCGCTGGAAGAGCTAGGCATCCTTACGAGCTCAGTGGAAGAGCTTGGACCCTCCCGGCTCGGAGACACATTTCGATGGGAGTGTATGAGACCCAGCATTTCAATGGTTTTGCCCAAGCCCATTTCGTCGGCCAGTATGCCACCCAGACAATGCTGTTCCTGTGCCGGAAAGTCAAGACTGAGCTCTCCTGAGTACGGATTAACGTAGAAATGTGCCTGCCCCTCGACTGCTGGCAAATCTTTGTCATCAACATCCTTCGTTGGCCACGTGTATTCCTCCCACAGAGGGTGCATTGACAATTCTCTGCCAGACTTCTTATCTTTCTCTTTTGCCAGCATCCAGTGAAGTGCTTGCCTCTGGTACTTGCGCAGGTTCAGCACAAAGCTTGACGGAGGTTGAGCCTCCGGCATGTTGAAATCGAAGGACTGCGCCTTCTTGTATAGAGTATCGAGCTGATCTTCTTCTAGCTCTGGAGATTCTTCATCTTCGGATGATTCGTTCGACTTGCCTTCTCTCTTCGTCTTGTCGTATTGTTCTGCAATCTCTGCCGCACGGAGCAGCCCTTCCTTTTTGTGTTTTTTGGTCATGTCGTTGACAGTGGTCGGTTGCAGACCAATTTCATCAAAAAGCTTCACAAGCGCCACCTGACGAAGTCGCAGCTGCTTCTCTTCGGCGCTTTCTTGCTCTTCGAATAACGCGGTTGACCGGTTGTCGTCGCTCATATTCCAACGATTCCGTGGCAAAAACGCCTCTTTACGTAAATAACACCATAATTGCAGATATATCGTATCGTTGACCCGGACCCTGTCAGGCGCAAAGACGCAAATACCTTCAAATCTGCAGATCTTCTGATCGATCAGAGTTGAAACCCATTCGGCTGTCTCTCGAGGTAACCTTCCAATTTCTTGACCGGATTTGTTTGTGAACCGAGTCAGGACATCCCCCTTCTGATTGGTGATGAGCTTGCCTCCTCGGCCACGTTTGGATACCGGCTGAGACCTCGCCCGTTCAACATTGACATGCTCCCCGTGTTTGAGTAGACCGACACCGCTTCTTGTAGCCCAAGCTCCGACGCCGAAAGCACCAATGTATCTCGAAGATTGCGGAAGACTGCGGCGCGACGGCGCCTGGTTCGGTTTCTTGTTAATCGTTGTATTGACTGTCTGGGGAATCGGCTCGTTGACCGGGGTGCAAGGATTGGAGAGTGTTTGTTGCCGAGAGGCCACAGGAGGCTGACTCAGACTGTTGTTCGACGACTTCCATGAGCCGTCGAAGTAGATGTTGACCGCTCGCTCCAGATCATCGCCAGAGGCTTTGCGAATCTTCTCCACTGATTCCGGGGAAAGATGTTCTCCAACGATGCTAGCAAAGGTGGCAGTATCGAATCCACCCGAACTCTGAAATGCTTGTGCTTCGGAAACTGTCCTCTCCCCACTTGGTTGTCCACCATATCCGTTAGTCAGACCTTGGTCAACTCGTTGATCTTGCCGAGCATGTATTGAAGGAGAGTGGTTGAGGACTTCATGGTCAACGGCTCCGTTGTTCTGTTCGTCTTCTTTGGGCAAGTTATCCCTCTTATCTTCTGGGCTTAAGTCTGGGCTCCCTTCGCGAGACTCCTTAACGTTTGGAAACGGGAGGGTGCCGTTCAGCTGCTGCCGTTGAACGTCACTTCCCTCTGGTCCAGCAGAGGAAATCGTAGACGCGTCGTGATTCGTGGCAACCGGTGCGGCTTCGTTAGAAGGTGGGTGTGTATCCTCTTCGTCAACGAAAAATCGTCTTTTCTTTAAAGGCCGTTCATTCAGATCCCCAAAAACCATTTTATAAGTCTTACCTCAGATCAGATGGCCGAATTTATGACGAGGGGATGTTGGAGATCGAGCGTAGAAGCCATCAAAATTGATACGCCTGATCATTAATGGACGGGAGACGCGCCGAGACCGAGAACGACGCGATGGACCGCAGCACTTCGGGCCGACGTCATTCTTCAATAAATTTATGGGCGGCTTCAATTGTCACCTTGTCGTCCATACGCTCAGCAGTTCATCCATATAGATTATTTTCTTTTTTCTCGGTATATTTCGAGCTCAGAGGTCCACTGCATCATTGAGATTTTGGTCTGCTGACAAGGTATCTAAAAGATCCAACTATGTGCATGCCAGCAATCCTCTGAAGCAGAAACGCCCTAATTCAAAAAACCTCATACAAAATGTCATTGCTAGAGGAAATTGCCCGTGCATGTCGTGCCGGGACACGATCATGTCGCATTTCCCGGATTAGAGTACAACCACAGCAACGAAGGCATCTCACTCGATCAGCACCAGCCGCCAGTCCCGTCTCTGGCGCAGCTGAAGCAGAAGTCCAAGCTGCGCGGAAATACTGCTCAGATCTCCTTCTGTACGAGAGCCATTTTCTTCTTTTCGAGGCCAACCAAAACTAACCTGCAACGTATAGGAAATATGACCGGCCCTCCTACACCCTCAGCACGTTCATCCCGCAGAAATCGCAAACATTCTACCTCGCCCTCCGAGCCCTCAATGTCACCCTCTCCATGATCCCCGAGACCACATCCTCTTACACAATTGGATTAATGCGGCTGCAATTCTGGCGCGACGCCGTCACCAAGATCCTCGCCGGCTCACCCCCCAAGGAACCCATCGCCATCCTCTTGGCGTCCGCAATTACAGACCTCAACG